TAATTCAATGTTTATATGAAAGTAGCTGTTTCAGGAGGACTTTCTTTCAGTTTGTGTCTGAAAGTTACTTCTTTGCATGATCTACACATCCATGTATAGAGTTACTTCCTTCCTTTCTTTGGAAGACTCCCTCATCCTTCTTTTTTTGTATCAAGGTGGAGTAGTAGAAAGCCAAAAACTTTCTTTCCCAAAAACTTTTTTATTGTTTGTATATGTTCATAAAATAAGTTGAATGTTCAAATTTCGAATGCTGCGTATATTCAATTAGCGATTTTTAATTTTTTTATGCTGTTCGACGTCCCGAATATATATACACAGTTTCAAATGTTTAACATGTTCAGTTCGTTGGTGAGAGGTATGAAAGTTAGAATCCAAAAATATGGATCAAAGAATTTGCATCAGATTTTGTGTAAAAAATGGAATTTAGTGCTCAAAAACACCTGAAACGTTGACAGTGGCATACGGTGATTGTACGCTGAGTCAGAAAACTGTTTACAAATGGTTCAAGCTTTTCACAGGAGGTTGAAAAGATGTGAATGACGAAGCTCGCCCTAGACTGCGCAGCACATCAATAGAATAGAATAGTTTATTAACTACGTTACATTTTCATGTTTGTAGCAAGTCAAGTGTATAGGCTTCCTTAAAAAAACATATAAAATAAAGAAGTAAATTGTAAAAATGTAAAAATATTAAGCAACGCCGGGGTTGCCTGCGTACATATACAGGGTGTAACTAAATAAGTGTAAAACATTTAAGGAGGTGATTCCTCATCGAAAAAAAGATAGGATCTTTCATATGAAGACATTTCAGTGGAGCATCCCTTGTTAAGATACATCCCCTTAAAGGGGATACATAAAATTTGTATAACAATTTTTTTCACAAGCAGTGAAAAAGTTACAATATTGAAATTGACCTGACGTTTTGTACTACCAAAAAGACACTCAGCCAGTTATTCATTTGGTTTACCCCATGGTTGTAAGGGGTGGAAAACGCAACCCCTAAAATTAATTTCCAATGTAACNATACATTTTAGGGGTTGCGTTTTCCACCCCTTACAACCATGGGGTAAACCGAATAAATTACTGGCTAAGTGTCTTTTTGGTAGTACGAAACGTCATGTTAATTTCAATGTTGTAACTTTTTCAGTGCTTGTGAAAAAAATTTTTATACAAATTTTATGTATCTTAACAAGGGATGCTCCAATAAAGTTTCTTTATATGAAAGATCCTATTTTTTTTTCGATGAGGAATCACCTCCCTAAATGTTTTACACTTATTCAGTCACACCTTGTATAATTCAGTATAATTTATTTCGTTTTTTCATATATTTCGAATCAGTCAAAACCATTTCTGACAATTATTTTGAAAATTCAAAAAAATTCGTCGTGTCTCGGGTGTGTCTTAATCAAGACACGCCCGAGGAAGCCATTGTATGGCGAAACACGTGTTGCGTTTTTGTAAAACTGTCTAGTGAAAATCACACGATAAATTGTTTTTAGAATGGATTATGGATTTTCATCAAGTATCGACCGATTCCATCATATATAAAAAATTATGGAATTTCAACAATAAACAACTATAGATTTGTCCTATCGTGTATCATTTGCGTTATTTTTTCACTTTCCTTTTATTTTTCAGTCAACCCTTACCAGTGCCTCGCAATACCTGTTTTCTGCTTTAGACAGCCGTGCTTTCTTACGATCCGCAACTGTTATACTTCCTTCGTCATGGGCAGATTCTTGTGTGGCTTCATCTGTTCTTTCTGCTTCCGGAGAGATGTCGGATATCACCATAATCCCCAGCGATTCAGTCAGGGGGCCCATCTGGACACAGCAGTCTTTGGGGTGTGGACAACCGGGTGACCAGATATATGTAGGATATCAGCATTTAATTCAGCCAAATAACGATTTAGGTAAGTATCTGAGCTGTTTCACATGACATTGTGAGATAATATGTTTTGAAATATGTTTTTCCGTAAATCAGCTTTCGCCCCCATACAAACGACAACTCTCAGAAGTTGCAAACTTGTACGAGCTAAGGACTAACGAGGTCTTACCTTTCAACGTGTGATTCCTAACACCGTAATATAACTTATATCTCTCTTGTCCTGTTAATTTTCTTCTTTCATTATTCATTTCTTTCTATGTGATTTTTCACATAAAATTACTGAACTATTGGGGTAAACAGGTGCAAACGAATACTCATGACATTTGTTTCAATATTTCGATACGTTTCATTGTCATCATTAGGGAAACCACAAAAATGAAGATGTGTTATTTACATATGCTCAAGTTTTGATAAAACTAACATTGTTACAGTCGATAATTAAAATGAATGTTACGATTGTTGAAATTTTTGCGAACGCAATATATAAACTATTCACATCAATGGGAGTATACAATCCTCCACTTCAATCGAGTATTTACAGCTTTGAATCTGGTTTCCTACATTTTCTTAAATTCCTAAAACGAACCGGTAGTTGCCGTGAATTTTCTTCAGTTTGGAATGAACAAATTTTCAGTTTCCAATTAAACTTTGTTGTATATTTATGATTATTATTCAAGTCTTTTCAAATACAATTATCGATGTAGGTTTTTCTTCATGGTTTGGTGACTAAATTTTTTTCCCACTATTTTGATCAATTTGTATCTCGACGTATCGTGAGTATTGTTCAGAATTTTATCATAAATAAGAAAATCCAAGCTCATACGTTCACTATTTAATCTCATTTGATATCGAATAAAATTATATTCATCTAGTTTGAAATTATCAGGTGTAAATAAGCAAATATTGAATTCTCTAATGAACTAAATCAAGGGAAAATTCCATTATATGAATTTGAATCTGGTTGAGAAATGTTTATACTTACCGAAGCCGCCTGATAGCGACTCTCGGGGGTGGTCTCTGGTTCTGCTTCGTAGGCCTCCTGTGTTTGTTTCTCTCTCGGAATCTGGGGTCATCCCTATTCAATGCATTGTGTAGATCGCTTACCGCTGGATATAACAAATATAATTCCAGCTAGTCATGAAATCTTTCTGCAGTTGATTCAGTGGGATGTCTGCATCACCTGCAGACAAATCCAGGAAACAACTCCACAAGCATACTCCGGGGTGGTTGTCGGAATAACGACTTTGTAGGTACGTGTGGCAGATACCCAACGGAAAAACAACTCTCTGCACGGCATTAACTGGGTTAGTTGTTGGTTTTTCGTTGAGTATCTGCCACACGTACCTACAAAGTTGTAGGTCTGCATGAGAGGAAAGGGGCAACCCTGAGCATGTGATTTCTTGGAAATTCAACTGAAGTGTTTCATATCATTTTTATGTTTTTCTGTATTTGTTTGGGAGAGATAGTCAGGTCAGGTGTAATCTCCGGAAATATTCATCTATTTTTTTCTATAATTTGTTGAGATGAGTTATTCAAATATTGAAATTAATATTTTTTCATTAAAGGTGAAATCTACAGTAATGGCTCAAAATGGATTGAGTTATGAATATCTGTTAAAGACAAATATTACATAATGACAGAAGGATTTCATTATTAGGCTAAGACTAATGTCATGATATGTAAATATTGTTTCAATTTTCAGCTCGATTTCTCATCAAAAACTTTGCAATGTATCGATATGGTGTTTTTGAAGAACAAGGTCATTATGATGATCCCATATATCCCATGTGTTATTACGACGACCAGAGTAACCAAGCCAAAGCCAATGGATGCTCAGATTTACCAATTAATGGAAGCGGGTGAGTTTACAAAGGAATTTATAAGGATCTCTTTAGTCTGAAAGTAAAACTTGAACTTCATTCTTTTTGCATTACTTTTTGTGTAACTGAATGGGCTCATTCAGGCTAATTTAGTTTTTTATTGAAAATTATATATTTTTCGGTTTATAAGTCAATTAACAACTCAGCAAGAGCAATTGAAAATGTGAGATCACTCGCGGTACATCTTGACGCCACACCAGGCAAACGAGCTTCGAGCGGTGGCAACCGGGCCTGTAGTTGGAGATTATGAATCGCTGCTATCGTCAATTCAATTCAATTTTCTTCAAAGTAATGTATATATCAATTCTGGGTAACTGGCATTTTTGAGTCAAAAGTTCTATAATAAGTAAAGAGTACCTTGGGATTCCAAGACATAATTTCGGATTTTTCTCTATGACGTAAATAGATCTTCGCACAATATTGTTTTTCAAGTTCCAGTTTTCAACTAATATTCCAGACAAAGTAGAATCTAATGATGTATCAACAGAAGTCATGTCTGATGTACTCAAACTCTCACTGTCCTCGGGGGAACTTAGTAGTAATTTTTNATTTTGATACTTCCTGTTGCCTGACAAGTGAGCACTGATGATGACGAAAGTCGAAAGCGCTTTGCAAGAATTTTAAAAATTATACACTTCAATACAAAAAACCTCTTCGATGCATCACTTCTTGTTTAACTGAATTTTCGATTTTAATCTTGTAGTGTTTTTCTAGTTGGTGAGTTATGAATCTTTTTTTTTTGCAGAGTATGTTCGTTGACGTCACATTCAATATTCAACCGGACAAGTATGGTAGATGAAAAGGCCAGATCGTCGATAATGTTTGCTGCAGAAGCTCCTTCGATTTCTATGTTCTGCGACGAAGGAAATCACAATCGTTTGGCTCCTACGAAACATAACTTTTTTTGTGAACGTCGAAGCGTCCTCGATGTAATAATGAGTCACAAAGATTTTCTCAGTTCTTCGCAATTCGTATCGAAAGGAAATCATATAACTGATACTACGCCAAGGATTGTATATAAGAAACAAAATGTTACCCGTTACGTGTTTGTGATCGAGAACTCTAAAAACATGATGCAAAGAGAGTCTTGGAGTTATCTCAGATTGGCGATGAGGCAGTGGGCCAGATATGTTTTACCTGACAATTCGGAAATTGGCATGGTTTTGTTCGATTCCGTACAATCAACTCGTGCACTGAATATAGTATCAGCCAAAATTGACTACGATCGGTTTGGAAATAGTAACCGGGATAAATTTTATTCTGCCATTCCTTATACACCCAGTGAGAGCCTGCAATCTGGATGTCTTCATTGTTCTTTGAATGAAGCTGCAAATATGCTAAAGGAACGCACGAAATCTAATGGCCCGGCAAATAACGTTATTGTTGCAATTGCAGCAGGGATGGCTCTGGATGACCACTTAAAAGACCTTATAAAAGATTTGAAGGAATTCAAGATTAAAGTAGCGACAATCAATTATCCGAGCATAGTTCTGGAAAACACGTTGGGCTTATTAGCAAAGGAGACAGGTGGAGCTGACTATGCAGTTTTTGAAGAGAAGCTCAACGTTGATACAACTTCACTAACAACTTACTTCGAACTCCACAATATTTTATATGATATTGTAGTAAAATTCAGTTCCGTCAGCCGTGATGGTCTTCCAATTGAAATTCATCGTAGGGAAATTACTGATGATGGCAGACTTTCTGTCACAGGTAGCTTTATGCTGGATTCTAATATGGGGGAACCTGCTCAGTTCACATTATTCACACATAATACAGTGACTCCATTGATCAAAGGGTTGAAATTGATCAGTCCAAGCCATCAGATTTTTACCGACAGGAATGACAAATTCATTGACTTCAAAATGATCACTTTGAACACAAATATTTCTGAGGTGAGACTTATTACATTTTCCATTGAAATTCTCATAGACTGTTGCTTAACGATCTCATTAATAAGTGTACCTACATGTACTTTGGACTCTGAAAAGACTATAATTTGGAAGTAGCACTTGCATTTCATTTCCAAATATAAGGGTGGTTAGAATCCAAAGGTTCCAAACAGTTATAAGGCCAATGAATGTTCAGACATCCAGACTATCATAAGCCATTCGTGAAATAATCGGAAAACATTGAAGTCGTTTCTTCTCTGGTATCTTTTCTTTACAAAATATGAAAAAAGTGTATGAATGTTTCCGAACAAACTTGCTGAAGGTTACCATACGCACTAATTTCATTTTTCATACAACATTTCGATTACTTCCTGCCACCTTTATTCGTTTCATTTCTAATTGTCGACGTTTCATTCCAAAAAATATCATCATATGAGTAAATTGTATCTGAAATTCAATATCTAGGAACCTGAGTACTTGATTTGTTATTAAAAAAAATTGAACTTTAGGCGTGTGATAAATATTTAAAATTCAATTGTGCTTGGAAAAAGGTCAAAAGTTCATTATCCAACTTTGAGGTCGCTATTAGCGATNTATCGGTTATCATCACATGAATTGAGTTACTCATTACGTTAATTTTTGTTCGGTCCATTGTACCAGAAATGTCAGAAATCAATACTAAAGACATACTATCATCATTAATGTTCTGAACGAAGAAACAGAACACGAAAAAATAATTAATATTTCATTCAAGTTTCATTCAATGCAAGATGAAAGAGCAGCATCAGAATTTGCTGGAAAAATTATGGGGGGGGGGCTAAGTAAACGAAACATCGTATGAAAAATGAAATTATTGCACATCGTAGACTTCTTCATGAATTTCATATAATTTTTAGGAAAGAAAGGTTTTGACGTTCTACTTCTTCGTATTTATATAAAAAAACTGTGGGAATCTTCCAAAGAAGGGAAGGAAGCAATCAATTAACAAAGTTAACACTATAGAAACACTATAGAAAGACGCTTGGATCATACAAAAAATTAATTTTCAGATACAAAGTGTGAGAAAATGTCCTCTCGAGACAACTACTTCCATATAAACACGAAAGGAAAAAATCTTTCGAAACAACGAATTTTATATGAACATTGAATTATAGAAAAAAAGCTTTTTCCTATTCAGTTTGCAAGCCAAACATTCGTTTTGGAATTGAATCAGATATCATTCACAAGATTGCTACACAATATACTAAATTAATGAGGTAAAATTTCACTTACATTAATTTTTAAAAAAGATAAATTTCACTTTTCTTCTCCATCTTCATACAATATAAAGTTAAAACTTTTGTTTTCCAAAATATCTTTCATATTTTGTACACTCAATACACCTTAGGACAACAGTCAAAATCAACGATTCCATTTTTTTTTCCATAATTCATGACAGTTTATGATAGTCTCGATTTCTCAACATGATTCCATTGCATTCTGAAAAGTACACTTTTTGTGTACTTTGTCTAATTTAACTAACATCGTATCTTCCACCATTACCGAAATAGCAATAATGTGCAACTGAATTTTCGCCACCCCGTATATAAAAGAAGCATTCTGTAAACTAAAACTCTACTAGATATCAAAATCAATCTGTTGTCGAGGTGCCCCGGATTAAACTATTACTATATCACTGAAATACATGCTGTCTCAGACGATTAATTTGTATTGCAATAACTAGGAGTAACACTCCGAAATCACTGTGTAAGTGATCACTCTAGTGAGCTCAGCGATTTTCTTTGTGAGAAACGTTTCAAAAATGTTTCTCAGATATGATTCAATGTCAGTCGTGTTATTCACCAGGAAAGTAGATGTTTTCTGTCGAAAATTCATTATATCATTCGATATGTCCGATTTTTTGAACACGCCCCCATTTATTTATTATCGAATCTTATCCAAAATGATGAAGCACACTTTGAAAAATTCGTTTATTGCCCCAAATATTGAATTGAAACTAAGATCTCAAGTATCCGGAAGGGCTATACATCACTGTCAGTGATGAATAGCTTGTTTCAAAAGTTTTATAGGTTTTCATGAGTCTACTTCAAAGTAAAGTGTAAGATATCAGTGAATCTTATTCAATTCAATCAAAATAAGCGCAATTTGAATCAATGCACTTTTGCCAATGTAACACAAGTCGATAGATTCCGTCAGCATAAGAAGTATGTGCTTGGGATTCGATGAAGTCGATGAAGGTCGTTTTTGCCTGGTCCTGATTCACGAAGGTTCGTCAGGTGAGAAAGTTATCAAAGTGCGGGCAATAGTACTCTGCTGTGATGATTTGGCTGGTTACAGAAAGTTATAGTAATTCACAACAGCCGCTGACCACCATACAGTAACAAAGTTTGGGAAGTGCCTGGGCGGCTCATCGGTGCTCAACCACTGTTCTGATTGTCTCCTCTTGTAGTAGAGGATCCATTTCTATTCAAACGTGACGATCCGTTTCAAAATGAGATCGTTCTGGTTGCACAAATGCAAAGAAGAACAAATTTCTGTGAATCGTTCGAACTGTGGGCACCCACTTTTGAGGTTTTTGATCTTTCCAATACGTTTCAAACCATCAAAAACCGCATGGGAAGTGACGCCCAGTTTTTCCGCCATTCCACGCCCCATTTATGATGGGTCAGCCTACACCAGAGTCATCAGATCCTCGCACTAGATTACTATGGGTCGACCACTTTGGAACGAAATTTTGCACTCTTGAACAGTGCGTTCATTAACACTATCATTTTTTATTTGAAGGTGGTTGACAATGTTTCGTGGTGTATTTCATCAGTTCGGACTTCCATTGTCTAATATAATATAAATTGAGTTGACAACCCTGAAAAAAAATTAAAAAGATTAACCAAAAATAACAATTTTATTAAACAGAAAACTGAAATTACAAAGAAATAACATACAAGCAACAACAAAACAAATAAAAATTGAAATATTAATAAAAGCTGAAATTTGAAAAATCAAAAATATTGGAGCCTCTGGAGACACCCTACATTTTGCTTTATGAGAGAGAGGACATTGTTAGATCAAGATCTTCAGATGATGTGGTGCTGCAGGTTTTTCCGGGTTTTCCTGCAGCTGAAAAAGCAAATGCGCCACTGGAATCAATGAAGTCGCCCTGGAGCGCCAATTAATTTTTATTGTTGTATTTATTTTATTTTTATCGTTAGTGAAACATAATATACTTATTAACAAAAAATGAAGAAATTAAAATTAATAGATTTCAAACCAAGTTATTTCACGACGTTTCGACTGTTAGTATCCACAATCGTCTTCGGGTGATAACTAGACTTATTCCTCCAAGATCTGACTATTTATAGGTCATTCGAGTGCTTTCACCTATCCCCTCTTCCCTCTTTCCGCTTCATTAGTTTTAGCGGGAGATGACCGTTTGGCGGGGAGTTTTTGCTTGATTAGAGGTTCCTCCAGTGTTCCTCTTTATGGATGATTCCAGCTTGAGCCCACTTGATGTTATGTTGATGAGTCCAAACATGCTCTGCTATTCCGGATTTGCTGGTTTCTCATTGCTGTGTGTGTTTTTTATGCTCAGCAATGCGAACTTTCAATGGCCTCTTAGTTGTCTTCTAGCTAAGGCCTGTTCTACCATCGCTCTGGAGTAACCATCCCGTTGAAGGTCATTTTTGATGATGCCTAGTTCCTTTTCGAGACCTTCCTTTGTATTACAGAGCCCAAAAGCACGGCCTAGTAGAGTCTTGACGATTCCTCTCTTAGTCGATTGATGGTGGTTGGATTTCTGGTTCAGATACTGTCCTGTGTGAGTGGGTTTTCGATATACAGATGTTTCCCACTTAGTGTCGGTCCTCTTCACCAATACGTCTAAAAAAGGCAATTCGTTGTGGATTTCCTTCTCCATTGTGAATGTGATGGAAGGACTTACGTTGTTGATGTGCTTCAGGAAATCCTTGTTGATTTTCGGGCTGTTACGGCAGCGCTTTGGTTCAATTTCTAAAGAAACATTTGCCGAAATTCGCTCAACGATATCATATAATAATGAGCTGAAAATGGTTAAAAAATTAAAATTCAGAAAAAAACGAACATCATCACTGAATAGAGTACAAAATTCTCTATCGATCAGTATACACTACGACACAGTAGAATAAATATTCATTGGGATATGGTGCTACCAAAACGCATGAATTTAAAACGGACAAAACTTTTGAAACAGACTAATACTTTGTACCACTTTCGTGGCTACAGTTACGATATAGAGTCGCTCAAAACATGAATTGTGAATGAAGTTTTGCTCCGGAATACCAAATATGTTTTTCAGTAAGAGATAGAATTGAATATTTTGATCTAGAATGATTTGAATAGGTTACTTTACTTTTACAACATGATGGGATAGTGAAAACACTTTTTCCGAAAAATAGTCTTTTCAGAGTCGTAGTCTATGGGGTATGGGGAAGTGATTTACTGTGCTTGAAATCTTGATTAGT